GCTAGTGGGCGTGTATGTCCAGTCCTTGGGCGAGGAGCGGCTCTGCGGGGTGCGCGTGCGGGGCCGGGTGGAGCAGCATGGCGGGGTGAGGGTGGGGGCCGGGGTAGGAGTGGAGAGACGGTCCCGGGTGAGGAGGGTAGCCAGGCTGGGACAGCAGAGCGCTGGGATAGTCCCCCTGCAGAGAGGACATTCCCTGAAGACCGGCTGGGGACGAAAACGGAGAGAGAGAGAAAAAAGTGACGCGCAGAATCCAAACACTGCCTGCCTGTCTGCACATCTGCTGCAGCTGTTGGTTCTGTCGTTTCACCTGAGATCTCACCTGAGTTATACTCAAACATGCACAATTAATCCAAAAGGCTTCAAATTAAAATATTTGTATCTCCTGCACACTAAATCCTGCAGACTAAACAAGTTTCACTTTTTGTTTCCACTAAATCATCATGTAAATTAATGATGAAACATTTTTAAAGAAAAGCATCTCGCCCACTTGGTTTCATGTCAGAGTTTTTAATTGAATTGTCATTCAAAGCACAATGAAATCACAAAATTACAAATTACATGATGTTAATAACAAAATTAACATCATGTTATGTTAAAAATACCAAAGTTATGGCTGTTTTTGTCAAATTATGTTCACTTTTAGCTCGTCACTCCCGTTCATAAATTTTTCTCATTCAGAGCTTTCCTTTTTTTATCATGTTAGGAATGACTAGAAAAATGTGCACATTTAAAATCTGGCTCAGTTAAACTAAACTTAGCACAAAAAGTTAGGGAATTAGTGTTTGGTAGATTGTTTCTTTGTTGAAACAATGATTCTGGGCAATAAATTGTATATCGTTGGAAAGCCTGTAATTTTCCCTTTTAAATGGGGCCACATTTGTAAGGAACATGCATTTGTGAGATGAGTAGAGCTGATGTTGCACACATTAAAAATTTGCCGTTGGCACTTTTTAAAATTTTATTTAAATTAGGACCATGCATATTAATCAACATGTCAGCAGTAAGCATGTAAATATGCCGGAGTTAGCACAACAGCTAGTTGTTTCAAGCTTCTGGGTGCCAGAAAATTTATTGCTAAGAAGCATTGTTACAAACAAAGAAATACCAAACACTAACTATGACCCCCGCACGCGAGGCATAAGCAGGAGTCATATTGTTTTCGTTCAGTTTATTTATTTATTTTTATTATTTTTTTCAGTGAGTTTTGTTCAACCGTACCACAAAAACGGCTGCACCAATCAGCATGAAATTTGGCAGGATTGTAGATGAGTCTGACCTACACTGTGCCAGCCAACGGTTTTACGATAGACCCCATATTTGAGGAGGGGGCTTCTTTCAAAGTGGGTGTGTCAGGACATGCAAAATCGCTTAAAACTCAGAAACTGTTCAACGTAGGAGCTTCAGATTTCTTTTGTTGTTTAGCTCTGATGAAGCTCTATCCATCAGGTCAACCAATCAGTGCCCCCCCCCCAGACCCCCAATTTATCTGAAAAAGGGGTGTCTGGACATGCAAAAATGGTTATAGCTCAAAAACTATTAAACATAGGAGCTTCAGATTTTCTTTGGTTGATTAGTTCTGATGAGGGGCTATCC